CACAATTATAAATACAATTGGTTACATAAAGAAGTATCAAACCCCAAAAATAATATTGATTTTGAATTTAGAACCCGCTCCATTCCTGCTCCATTAAGTCGATTATTAAAAAAATAAAATTTTGCGAACAATGAAATGATTTCTTTATTACTGGTACGATATTGTGTAAAACGTAAGATCTCATTGAAATATTACCAAATTCAACCTAACTATACAATTACTTAACCCATTTATTAAGGAAATTACTACGACATGAAATATTCCCTAGTTTGACAAATAATTGTAATTAAGTTTCTATCAAAAATATGTTATTTGTTATTTTTTGACTACAATATAATGATGCCAAGAATGATGATATATATATCTCACAATATTCACATAATATTAGTTAAGTAGGTATTAGTTAATATCTATTCATTGACATAGAGGAGGTTTCGTGTACATTCAATTTAATGGAAATTGGGGATTAGTAATAATGGCAAGTGCTTTCAACAGAACAGTGTGTATTAGATTAATTTATTATGTTGTTAAATGTATACCAATAAAAAATCTGTTAGTAGAAGTTAGATAATGTATTTAGCATTTTGTTAATTGTTGCAATGGTATCGTTTATAATTTACCTTAATCGATCGCAATAAAATAATTTCGCTGTTCTTTTATCAGATTAATTTATTTCCTATGTCACGACTTAGGTTTTGTGCACTTCATGTATTTTATCCAATAATAAATATGATTTATTCTATTTTTGTTTCTAGATATAAGAGTTGTTTAAAGTTTTCCAAAAGTTGAACTAACACTTCTTTTCTGAACTAACAAAGCATATTCACACTGTGTTAAAGAGAATCGTGACAAAAGGAAATGAGGTGTGTCCCCATTACTTCCATTGGAACTATTTGTAAAACAAAAGGACCAGGAGACAAAACGTCGCGTTCGCGATCGTATCGGGTTTGAGTTTTGTACAGACGCGTGTTGCGCACGCGCCGGTTCTGTTCTAACTGGTAGGGGTTTCCCGCCAAAACCACGCGGAGTTACTATCTAGAGATAAATGCAGAGATTCATTCATGAATATTATGCAATTTTCACTTTATTATAAGTATTGTATTATTGCATTCTATAGTCACGAATTCGTTGTTACACTTGCCTTCTGCGAGGTTTCCTTTGCGAAAGTCCTACTGATCGGTACCTATAGAAAATGGTCAATACAAAAGTAGTATTGTTCATAGTACCATCGTTTTTGCTATTGTCCACTACTGAATATAGGGCTTCCCCATTTAAGTGTATCAACAATATTTATTGGAGAAAAGGAACAGTTACCTATTTGTGTCTAGGATTTTACGTTGCTGAGCAATTTTTTATGTAACTGGATTAGCTAATGAGCTAATGATCTACCTGATAGTAAGTGATATCACCCACAGCTACAGTCAAACTAATATATTTACTAATACTGTAAAATCTCACCGTACATGTAAGAGTTGCTGAATAATCAAACAAGTTATACTGAACATAGATCTCTTGTTTTTGATACGAAATAGTATCGGTATCAAATTTGGAATTTCGGAATATCATAACGTGACCTAGATACCACTGTGTCTATATCTAATGAATTTGCGGTATCGGTAGCGCAGTCGTGTTCACTAATGTTAATCACCGTCTATTGGGCACGGGAGATTGCTAGTTATATGGAATAATAAACACTACCACACTATGGAAAACACTGTCCTTAATTGCCCTTAACAATGCCCTGACTATTCTAACGTCATTCTTACCTTATAATCCTCGTGGATACACCCAAAGTGGTGTCCTATGCATTGTTCCTGCATTATTCCTATACCCTCCATAAAAAATCATCAACCCTAAAACCCATTTTTCATTTACCATTAAGAAAGTTTATTAATATCTTATTTCTTGTTTATTGTTGTTAGTAATGGCTTAGAGCTATTACAAAATGTTAAATTTAGTTTAAATTTGAGAAATTCCTTTATAATGTATCTAAACAAAATTGTAAATCAATAAAGAGGTCGCTACGTTAAAATTCATAAGTAAGTGGAATATTCATACATCTTATTATAATGTACGTGTAATGAATATTGCCTAATTATTACCACCCGGTGGTTTAGTGAATACAGTAATTAAGCAGGTATAATTATTATTTATTATGCTACTTATAAATGAATTTTATTTTCAGTTTGTGTGGTTGTAACAATAATTACAACATTAGCTCTATAGGTAGTACTTATATTACGTGTATGTTAAATTAGGTGTATTACAAAGTTCTATATTTAGTTATAACACAATAGTTACAATAAACATTACACGTGGGCGCCAGCAGTGGGTTGGTAGTTGGTGGACTTGCAGATATTATAGTGAGTTGCTCTTACGAATCCTATGATAAATATGAAATCACTCAACTTAATACTTAATAATAATATTTGTTACCTATATTGTCTATAATAATACTAATAATTATAATAATCATCTTTATTTGTCCCAAACAAAACCTAATACAATTTTTGCCAATAGAATAATAAAAATGGAGACAAAACGGTCTATAACTCAGTGGGGGCAGTGAGTCTACCCTCTCTGCTATTCTGTAAATTAATACAATAACAGATCGACGACGACGATAGCACATTATGTTAAGTTCTAAACTATGTAATATTATGTTATCTGTGCTACTACTAACAAACATAAAAATTGACAATAACGTAACAAGATTGCAAACTAATAAAATTGGACAATAACAAACTTACAATATATATATATATACGTTATTACTAAGGTAGGTACGTCATACGTACATACAACTTCGGAAATTAATAATTTTCTAATATGTTTCTGCACCTTCGATGTTGCACTTTCATGACTTACTCCAAATGTTAATTTGTAAAGTGCTATTATTAAGACATATCGAACATAAACGCCTGAAATTTTGCTCTCAGAATTACAACTTTAACAACAGTTCAATATAATACTATATTTTAGATATACTATCTATATCAGGCGTTTGGTTTAGTTGTGAATTATTACGTTACCTAGTTGTTACTTTGTTGAGGCCTCATTGAGGATGATAAGATGAATGAAGAAATCAGGCCAGTTATCCTAACTAAGCGAAATTAACGATGACAGTTTCCAGGGCAGACTGTGTGAAGACGGACTTGGTGCATTACTAGCAGCAAAACCTCTACCTAACCTTATTAGTGTGGTCAACATCCAGCATATAAAATGAGGTGTTGATTACTGTTATAACGCTGCTATATTGTACAAGTATATATATATATATTATAACTTACATAGGATAAAATATACCATAAATGTTATTATTATCATATCAAGACCTGTGTTCGTGTATTGCTTGTTGATGATCCGCAGGCTTTTGTAAGCAGTAAATTCTGTACCAAAACCAAAGAGACAGCGCCATCTATGATAATGCCGTAGTAGTGCTTCTGCCAACTTCGTGCTTTAGTGTAAAACTTACAAATCGAATATTTTGTGCTTGCATTTTACAACCATGATTGGATATCTGTGTTTGCAGAGAATAATATAAGAGCGTTAAGGAAGATGGCGTTAAGTTTATAATTAGCTTTAAGACTTTTTTGTGAGTCTTCAAAACAAAAAAGTATAACGTATACCATATATACCATTATATTTATAGAGTAATTAAAATTTTTGTTCAACATTATGAACAAATACATTTTATTACTTGCCTAATAACGGCGTAATGTAGATAATTATATTCTACTATGCTGTAATTATTAGTATTAGTAATATGTAATTGGGGTGATAAATAAGCCACGCCACCTAATAGTAAGTTGTAACAGTCGCTAATATACATGAACAACTATACAGACAATACGTTATCAGCTGATGCCCGTAATACCGGTCCTATGTTGCCATTCCGGAGGATATAATGTCATGTCTCTTATATTTTTAGTATATTAAGATACATACAACACACATACCCTTAAATATCTACGTCAATACTACTGACAAATTTAATTTATAGTATATGTTACAAGAGAGACAATATAGCACAGGTGTAATACCTAATTTAAGTTATTAGGATCCTCACATTGGATTATTCATCATTATGCCATTTATGGTTACTTAATATTAAGTAGATTATTATATATTGCACCTTTTACTTTAAATATTATATTATATACAAAAAAAATATTAACAGGTACAAATAAAGTTTTAATATTATTAACATATTTTCACAGTCTCACCCAACCGAAATTTGATTTACATAGCAAGAGCGGCTGGAACTGATATGGCGGAGTGATCTTTTTATAAAACCTGCCTTGGTAGTAGTATAATAAGTAATGTCAATGAGAGTAATTCTGCACTTAACACATTATACGTGGGTTAAAGGCGGGACGTCACTAAGTGACGCCATGCATATACACGAGTTTTGTTTTTAATATTTAATAGATAGAGGCAATAATATAATAGATTCCTGAGTATGTTTGAGTAGTAACTTGTGTACCACTATATAGTTGATTATGACAAAATATACTGGATATATAAAAACAAGGAAGACATAAAGAACACAAAATTCATCATGATCATTTGCTTGCCTTTATCCCATTATTTGGGTTCGGCGCAGTATGTCATTCTTTTCCACTGATGTCTATGACAGCCGATAGAGATCAGTAGACGAGAATGACATACTGCGACATATCTGAGCATACTTTCCTTTTATTCATATCATCTATCACACAATCTATCCATCTTTTTTAGGGTTTCCTTTCCATCCATCTACATTCCACTTTTAAGACAACAAAATTGTAGTAATAATATATCGGCATATAACCTATAAAAGCGTAGGTACGTACACCAACAAATACTTGTAATAATTGTTGAACGCGAAGGTATTTTATTATAATTTCTTTTACAACATTTCAATAGTAAAAACCTGGGTGGAATTGAGTAATACTACAGAAGTTTCACAAGTTCTGATTATATTTGCATTATAAATTATCAAATATTTAATGGCAGCTTATTAGGCAGTGTTTATGTACTTATCTAATTGAGTAAAGCTATAAATTGAACTCTTACAATGTTTAGCCACTATGTCTAAAATACTAGGCACTTAAAGTAATTTACAAATATTTCAACTATACATGTTTAATTAGGCACTATCGAGACGTTGAATCAATTGGGTAATAAAGCCATTTAAATTCATAACCTTTCAGGCCATATTTCTCATCTTTTTCCGTTTCAGGTTTTGGTACCTCTTCGGATATCAAATCTAGTACTTCTTGTGAAATTTTTGGACGGAAGCCATTTTCATCTGCAACGTAATCTATTCGGGTTCTCACTCCATTCCTTCCCGTAACATAATAATACCCTTGTTTAGCACCATTTGTGTATCCTTCTTCAAAATGGCCATGGAAACCGACAGTATAATTAAAAGTGTATAACAGAAGCTTCATATCATTTTTAGTCAAACCGTTTGGTAGTCCTTCTTTTTCATTAGGCCCTCTATGGTGGATATCGGTGTCACCAGGTACTACTTGCATATTAACTGATAAAAGGGTAGGTTTATTGGGCCCTAAGGGTGATTCTATATTTTGCTGATTAATATTGTATTGTTTAGGATTACGGTCTCCCGAAGGTCCATTTGTATATTGTCCTGGAAACTGTCCATTTTGTTGCGATTGTCCGGGATAATTTGGTGATCCAATTATATCATTTGTTTGTGGATAATTTGGATTTCCTGTTTGCTGATTTCCATTACCTTGTGGATATTGATTGTAACCTGGGTCCCCAGATAGTTGATTTCCATTACCTTGTGGATATTGATTGTAACCGGGGCCCTCTGATTGTTGATTTCCATTAAGTTGATATGGATTACCTGAAACTTGTCCTAAATTTGGATTCACTGGTGCTAAATTAGTCAGCGGGGGTCTTATAGTAGTGGTAGTTGGAATACTGCAATGTGAGCATGATTTCACTGGAGCAGGTGCAACTGGGCTTGGTATATTTGGAGTATTTGAACTTTGTTGTGGAGGTCCTGATGATGAGGCTGGGAACTGAAGTGAGTGGCCTTGCCTTTCATTGCTTTCTGTACCGGGATCTGTAAATTGAAAGTAAAGAATCCATAATCACGTTTATTTATTTTTAAAGCACTTAGCAAATGCAATAATAGTTGTTACTGAGAGCATCTTGGTCTGCGCAGTAAGCACATAGCGTTTACTACGCGGACTATCAGTTTGAATACGAACGAAATAAAAAAAAAACCTTGTGTGTTAATTTATATTACTGACTGACTTTCTGGTTTCTGGTGATGAAAACACTGATAGCAGACTAAAAATCAATCCGCAATACGGTTGCCATGTTGCATTAAAATATATCTTACATGGTTTCACACGGATGTTCTTCATTGATAATATTTTGAATCCGCCATTTTCATCAGTAGCGTATACTGTTACGTGATACACGCCGTCAGCGGTAATGAATCCGAATTCTCCCATAATTAGTCCTCTCTCATCTGAAATAAAAATAATCGTTAAAATTGTATGTGTAGTGAATGTAGAATATACTTTTATAAACATTAACCTCTCTGCATTTTTTACATGAGGCACCACCCCAAGTGGCATTTAACTACATAGATATAGAAGAATGCCTGCGTTACTATACCTAAGTATGATATAAAGTTATCTTACAGCTACAGCTACTTACTAATTGACTGCTTACAATGACATTGGTAATTTTTTATATATGTACATGCAATAGAATAATAAAGATATACAAATTAAGTGAAGAAACTAAATTGTATATGTTCTTACACCTTGACAAGAAGGTCAAAAGGTTGGTTATTAAATGGCAATAACTTTATGAAGTTTTAGTATAATGTCATATATAATACAAACACTATTTGAGGAAGTACGATTCCTCATTAGCAAAATGATGCAATCAAATATTTGCTAATATTTGTTCAAAATACCGTATCAAAGTTAATTGATTTAGTGATGGTATTTAACTTATGTAAAGCAATCCTTTATAGGCTTAGTAGATGATTAATGACATCACTTATACAAACTCGTGTTATTTTTATTTATATTTACGAATCTGGTGATGTGTGTTCAAGACTATATATCATGACGATACCATTTATGAATTGTCTTAGTTAATAAGGATTATGGTCCTTTCTTTTTATAAAAAAATATGAACTTAAATAATATATTTATTAATATATTTTTTTAAATAAAATTAATCGTTGTAGATATATTGTCTTAAAATTTTTTTGCTGTATTTGTGTAGTGTTTGTAATTTTGTATTTACAAAGTTAGAAAATACTTCTACTAAAGTTCTCCTCCTGTAATCAAATCTAAACCTAAAAAAAATAAAATTGGTTTTGGATATTTTTTTAATGCTATATTTTTCAATATTATAATATTTTTATTTGATCTAAGTTTTATTGAACGACAAAGCCTTGATCGAATCTATCTTATTTCTTTATGTATCTTAGAATGTGAATAAATTATATAGATTATTGTAATGTTAGAACACCTAACTAAAAGGCATTGTTTGTAGTTTATATTACTTTAAAAAAATAGTTACTTCTACATATATTCAGTCATTTCTGTTAATTATTGCAAATAAAAACTCTGAATATCAAGCACAAAGAAAGGGTACCTACCAATGATAAGAACGACCTGTTGGAAGGGTAATTTATTTTTAATTTTAATCAGAGATTATTAAGGTACTGATATCCCTAGATAGACAGATTAAAAGGTACAGTATTACCAAATTACTGTAAATCGCCAGCTAGTAATTCATAAAACTACTTATTTTAATTTATTTGTCTGTTCAAGTTTTGTAACCCATAAAGCTTGTAATAAATGAGTAGGGAACAAAATATTACCAGTTAATGGATAGCCTGACTAGATAGATAACCGGTTAAGCATCTATTAGCGGTACCAAATCACTCTGTGACATGTCTTGTGAGTCGAAATAGGTTTGTGAATGGCAAATTTACTGATAAATGGATTTGATAACTGTGTATCATTTGATTTTATATTTAAAAATAATCTGTGTGAAAACCTGTCTGGTAATTATGGGAGCCAACTACGATTATAATAATAAATATCCATATTTAAATTATAACTAATTTTGTGCTACTTTATTTTAATGAGACTCAGAAAACCTACGTATGTTGTACTTTTGTATTTGTAAATAAGTATTTTGCCGACGTCAACATTATAAATAATTTTAACTCTCTGGTAACATTGCATAAACATAAAAAAGGTAATCGACTAAATCTCCGATATTATAGGTTCGGTATCTATAAATGGTATCTACCATTATCAATGTAGTTGAACAAGTTTAACACTAATAATTTGATGGTAAATAAATATATTTACCACCACAATCATATAAAATATAATAATAATATTTTACAATTTTAAAGTAATTGTATTTAAAAAATATATACTAAACATGATTATTTAAAAATAAATAGGTAGATGAGTCTGGAGGCTCATTTTTTGTATATCATTATAAGTGGCAATATATTACCACACGTAAGATAATATTATATTACTAAAGAATAAGCTATAAATAATATATGTAATTAAAAATGTAAGTAAATAGTGAGGGTTTCTCGGTTTTCCTTGGTTGATTCTGTAAATATTCGCTGCGGTTATAGATTAGTTGCCGAGCACCTATAATGGAATAAGTTCTTTTAGGTACTGGTTGCGCAAGATTATCGCAAGCTTATCGAGTAAAACCATGTTGTATAGACACAACCAGGAAATGGCCTTAAATTAACCATAATGGCGACTCTAATTGACTTTTGACTGAATTGATGTATTTAAGAATACAAGTATAGCCATCTTTTATCATAATTACTATTATTCCTGCTGCTGTAAACGCCAAAGTTTGAGAGGATGGATATGTGGATGGTTGTTTGTTACACTTTCACACTACCAGACGGATTTGACAAAATTTTAATACACAGATATACTATGTCTTAGATTAACACATAGGATAATTTTATATGAACAATTGCAATAATATGAACTTGTAAGTTCATATTATTGCAACTGATTGTTAAATAATATTTAAAAAATATATACATATATATTATAGAAATAATATGACTTCTCTCAATTGAATTCACTTAAGAGTTAACTGCGTTAACAGCGAAAATTAAAACATGAGATCCCTGCTAAAATTTCACCTGTTAGAATGTAGGTATATCGGTAATCTGCCGTAGACTAATAATTAAATACTTTTTATTGACCGTTGACAGCTAACAGATGATTGTGTACATGAAACATACATATGTTTTATACATGTATAGTTTGACAGGATTTTTAATTTTTACTGGGGGTCTTTATCAAAGTAGTAAAACCTAGTAGTAAAAATAAGGAATATTAGAATAGTTTAGTTTTTTAGTTGTCTGTACGTTAGTGTGAACTCAGAAATACCGTAACTAACTGACTAAACTTTGGGTGCGGATTTGACTAATGTATTCTGGTAAACTTCACTCGAAAACATTCCAATCGGCTTTCATACTAAAAATAATTTATTGTTATTTCCAACATCACTTTTCAGACAGTAATAAATAAATATAATGTTACCTTTTTTCTCATGTCTGTGTTGTTCACCCTCAATGTTGAAACCAAACTCGTAAGGCCTATTTTCATCTGTATATTTGTCTGCTCCTTGTGCTTGTAGAAAACATGCTAATACTGCGATGATTATGTATAGTCTTCGTTGATACATCTGTAAAATAAGAACCAATAACATAATGAAAGATGTTTCTGTACATTGAAAAAAAACTGTAATTGTTATAATTAAAATGTCCTATTTAGAATAGATAGATCTATAAGCTTTTATCGCATAAGTAGATATTTTATATAATAATTATCAAAATATAGTACAAGTATCTTATCGTAATTGCTTGTATACAAATATATGGTAAGTTAATTGAGGAATTTTTGTAATACGTACTTTCATCGGTAAAATATACAGGTATAAAGGGAACTATATGTTTCTAACATGACCTAATATATTTGTTATTCAAAGTTTGCGACACATAGAGTAGAGTAGCACCGGGTAGATTAACTATAAGAAACGTACTGTTGTTTCTATAAAGTATCGGTTAAGTGTATAAACAAAACATTAATAACTTCATTAAAAAAACAACTTTAAATGTTAATAGATTTCACAGAAATAACATCTTCTTTAGATATTGACATGATTAATGTTGTGTCTTGAAGATATAGTTCGCGTGATTAAAAATTGAAAACATGAATAAACGGAATGAAATACACTAATGAGGTGTTGGTGTGTAGAATTTATGTATTTACTTGGCCTTTTGGAGGTCCTTAATAATGTCAGTTATATGAATGGTCAAGTAAAAATATTACGTCATCGTAGGACAATTTAAGAAATACGGAAGTTTTGTATACGATGTCTTGCTTTATAATATCTTTGTAATTATTATTACAAAGATATTACAAAAGCAAGACATTTTCAGATTTTTTTAGTTTGATTATATTTTCATTCTTTAAGCTGTAGAAATCTCAACTGCTTTACCATTAAATCGCTAGAAATATCTTATTGATTGCTTTTGGAATTCATTATCGTGTTACAAGGGTTTATTGCTCGAAACGAAACAGCTTCTAGTTTTTGTGTCTTTTAAAGTTAGCTCACAATCGTATCATTCAAGTTTTAGACCTGGGGGTAAGAAGTTACAATTCAATCGCAGTTTTTAATAATTTTATTCTATAGAATAAACATCTCTATATTTTGAATCTAAATTAGAAAAATATAGTGAAATATAGTTTTCTAAATTATGGATATACCAAATTAGGAAATACCCATGCAAATATTATAAACATTGTAGTTAAACGATTATAAAAGACACGAAAAAATTTTAACCACACCTGAATATCTTAATGGCAAGAATTTAAATAAAGGTTAATAAATTAACAGGAGGTTACTGATACAGGTTCTATTATACTACTATATCGGAATTGTATTAAAATAAAATAATTTTATTAGAAAAAAGTACATTAGGTATCCGGAAGTGCCTTTATCTATATAAAGCCTTATATGTATCTATGTACGGTATAATATCAGCACAAAGCTACTATTCATAATCATAATTTTTATTTATGTTTACGAATCTGGTGATGTGTGTTCAAGACTATATATCATGACAATTCCATTTATGAATTGTCTTAGTTCATAAGGATTATGGTCTTTTCTTTTTATTTTTCCGTGCGAGGAATCGGACACGCAACCATTGGAAGTACGAGTGTGTTAAACCGCTAGACCACCGAGGCTGCAATATATATAGGATTAATTAAATTGGTAAGTATCTTTAATTGTAAAAACATATTACATAAAATCTATTTAAAATAAATTAACTGAATTTAAAAACTTACTAGAATGTCCTAAAATTAAATATTTATCATATTAGAAAAGAGATGATATTTTTTCTTATATTTTACTTTGTATCCAGTGTGATAAAGGTTATATATTATATTATATATGAAATCGTTTAACATATATGTTAAAAATACCACTGCTTCGTCGAAACTGACAGTTACGTTAGCAAACATACTTTAAGTATAAACGAACTCACATCTAATAATAATCATATTAAAATGTATGGTAATGCGCTGATCACGAAAATGGCTGCTGAATAATAAGTAAAAGTGATCAAATATTATATTACGATAAATTCAAGTTCATAAAAATTGTTTAGATTTGGTATTTTACTATATTCGTAGTCTTTTTATGTGCGGTTGCACTGTAGTATTTATAATTCTTTGTATTTATTAATAAATTATGTATACTTTAAACATAAATTATGTATTTTATGGCTTGATAATAAGCAGGTATTATAAGGATGAAAAGATATTTCATTTTATGTAGTGAGATATAAATTTAAAATGTATAATGACGATTTTACTTGCATCTAATTATATTGTTAATCACAAACGAATTTGTTTACTTTTTACAATCGGAACCCTAAAAGATCTGCGATGAAGTTTGTAAGGAAATGAAACGAAGATTAACGTTGTAGTAAGTAATTGACAAGTATATGCCAAAACGAAAATCATGTTTGTACTCATAACTATGGTACTTCAGGAGAAGGATGATTTGTGTTAATATTTTATATTTAAGTTAGAATCAACAACAATAGCAGATTTTTATATTTAGATGTCCGTAGATAAGAAGATATTTGAAAAAACCTGCCTGATTGTTGACATTTGATTAGCCTGTATATCGGTACACGTAACTATACTATTACGACTTTTTGCAGAGGTTATGAGCATAATAATTAGTAGTAATAATTATTATGCTCATGACGGAAGGAAAGGGAAATACGAGCTTGTGACAGCCATGCGGATACCTGGCGGTTGTACTCCAGTCGATCAGCATAGTAACAATAATACATAGATAATAATAATAGATTAATATATCAGAAGCAATAGGCCTGCAATATTGATTTTTGGTAGTAAACAGAAATTTAGTATCGATTGTTTCTGCCTACCCCATTCTCGCTGCCTGATAGTATAATAATTTTTAAATATGTGTATTACGATAGAAAGATATATATTTTCATTAATTAAAAGTCATGTTCTATTTAAATGAGACACATGTTGTATAATCACGGTGTCTTTTATGTTTAAAATAAATATGGCACAAAAATATTTATAATTCGCATATGATTTTCTAAATCTTCATTATAGTCCGTGTGCGTGATTATATTTACAACATACGCATATTTTACTAATCGATCGTTGAGAATTAATGGTATAATATGTATTCAAAATAATTAGTTATGTGCGACATGTTTTACGACTTGGTAGAAGGCGTTGATTTAAAAATAATTTATCATATTTTAATGCGGTATTAAAATTACTCGTATATCCGCAAATTAAATATTTATCGTATTTTAACAAAGAAGCATACATAGTTTATAGTAAAGTTTACTCACAACTTGGTTTGCTTTGAAAAGCTACTTTTTATATAATTTGTAACTTTAGAATCTACGGCTTTTTAAAAAAAATTTATTTTGTAAATTTTCTAATATTGGATATATGCTGATAATCAGAGTGTAACAAGTGTTTGTACATACCTATTTAATTAAAAATGTAATTTGCGTCTTCTAAAACAACTAAAAAGTAACAAATTGGATAACAACAATGTATTTACTTAAATTATTGATATTTCAGATTAACTGAAAGATAGTACCTACCTATTGATATATGCCATTACTTTTTTGTTTTGTAATAGATTAAAAAGTAAAGTTTAGAACATTCTGTTCAAGAAATATTATAAGTACACGAGATACACCAATAGATTGATGACATTAAATACTTTGGGTCTTTATATTTGTTAATAAACTATGTGTAAACAACTTCCGATTAAGTTTAGACTCCAAATTTCAACAAAAAATATAATATTTCGTAGCTAGTTTGCTAATTTGTAGAATTTTAAATATTCTGTAATATCAGATGTATGAACGAATGAATTACATTCAGATTCACTCAAATTTGTATTACGTCGTCTATCTTTGTACGTATGTGATTACGTGTATCCAGAAACTAAAGAATAATAATTTGCAACTGAAATATGAATAGAAATTTTTTTTAAACATTTAATTTTTGATATATAACATACAATTATTGAACTGCTATAACGATAGACCATTCATTCAAACCTTATGTTATTTAATATCTTGTAATAGTAATAAACAAAGTTACGGGTAATTTTAACACCTGTTAATCCGGTTTTAATAATTGTGTTTGACACGAACACGTGAAATTTCTAAAATGTTAAAGTAGTAGCTTCATGTTTCATACTTCCTATTATATATTGTCTCAACTTATGTGTATAGTATATATAATACATTTTACTGCTATTAATATACAATTTAAAGAAAATAGTTTACTTTTCATTTATTTATTTTTTTTATTTATGATATGTACATTGTAAAATTTATTACTAAACCGGTTTAACTATAAATTGACACTGTTATGAATGATTTATTTTTATTTACCGATTATTTAATTAGGTAAAGAATATCTATGATCTAATAGACTATACTCAAAATGGGTGCAGTGTTATATGCAATAGGTATAATAAATTATACAAGATGTATTACTATGTGGAGTCGCTAGCACACTGGTCCTATTTTATTCAAATTCGTATAAAAATTGGACATTTATATTCCAGTAGAGACATAATATTTAATTAGTGTTGAGTCGACATCATTAGCAAATATAATTGAATAATATTTTGTATAATAAATATGTCAAAATATTGCTATTGTCATTTGTGATGGTAAAAGGCATATTTTATTAAATTATTAAAAGTTGACTTTTATTATGATTAATGTGACTGTTATAAACTTTATGTATTTTTGTATATTTTGTACCTAGAGTAAGGACGAATTATAGGGAAAAATATTGATTAATTTTTCTAGTGAGTGATAAACAAATGACAGTAATTGCGGCGGTTAATCGCAGTGAGTTCCTGATTTTTCAAAAAATGTTTTTTATTTGTATTGCTTTAGAAGACCTCTTATTTATAAGATGGTTGTGTCTATATAGTATGTTCTCGACGTATAACTGTTGAATTTTTAATATTTTTAAATAAGATTCACATTCAAATATATTAAAAATTTATTTGTTAAAGTAACTACATAATAAATATAATCAATCATTAGTATTCCTAATATAGTACAACAAATATTATTGGTATTAAGTCGTATTGAAATGAAAATAAAATATTTGAGTTATGAAAGGAGTTTCAATTTTCCTATAAAGGATAAAAGGGTGGTGTTGATAATTACACATATATCAAGAGCGTATTTTTATTTGCTGTTGAGTAGGACGTAGTTTGGTTTGACATGCGTGGAATCGATTTTTGATGCTCAATTAACTACTTGTACTACTCATATATATGTACACATACATTCTTGCACTTTACGTTGCCAAAAGTCATAGATAATTGTTTACAGAGAGGTGTTCTTTGGTCAAGCAACGATTTTATATATTTCATTTGTTCGTGTGTGCTTACATTACTATTAAAATGTTTCTTAACCTTAGTAGATGTTTGCATGAATTTGGGATTAATGATTTATTAGTTTTTTTATCTATATTAATTCTTATCTCCGTAACGCTAATTGAAGTTCCGTGTAATATTTAGTAATTATAAGATATATTATTTCAAATTGACTAAACAAAAGATATGACAAATAGAATTATAATATTTCAACAATTTTAGGTGTTTTAAGTTAGCAAATAAGCACTTTAAATAGTCATATATAATATATATATTCTTTCGTCCACTCCAAATGTAGATTCAACAAAGAAGATTTATAATAATTTCTAGAAAAGGTATCTTACCGTTGTTACATTTACTCATATTAATTATTACTTATTTTAAAGTTTTGTAGGCAAAAGACAAAGAAAAGTTGACATTCAACCGTTACAATATTTCGTCAAGTTATATAATATAATTTGTGTAGCGTTATAACACGATAACTATGATACTCACTATAAATGATGAACATTTTAAAAAGAAATTTTAGACAAAGACTTTAACCAACCTGCCATAATAATAATGATGATTTATATGTCATAATAATAAAAAAACCTATTAATATGAAATATTTTTTGATAATAAAATGCTTTCTTTTGTATAGGATATACCTATTCATAGTCTTACAACCATGGAGTTCATGAACAACCATAAATAAAAGTATTTCTCTATCATTTTTAAATGATAATGATAATAAGTAATCATTATTTACATTACACCATATCTTTTTCTCTATATATATATATAGGAATAAATAGATCTAAAGAGTATCTATATATGTACTAAAGTGTTGTGTTTATAATCAACCCTCTCTCATATTGTATATGTTTTTTATAATTTAAAGCTTCCATGACAAGAAGTACATTTAATTTATATAAAACTACCCTGTTTTTGATAAGTCGTATTTATATTATTACATAATTAGAATTGTAATTGTAACTTACCTTTTTTGTTATAAATTTATTTTTTAATTGAACAGGTGCGGGCGTTTATAGCCCCTTGCGGCCTGTTGCGCAAGAGTTCACACGAGACTGTGCCGATTCGGTATAACACTCACGTAATTTATTAATAGTAGGCAGGTAACATAGACATACATAGATCAAATGATATTGAACAGTTGTGTTAGGATATTTGATTTTACATTGCCTATATTTTTCCTTAAATTAAAGTATTATATCATTCTTTAAAATAAAGCACTATAAAAAATATTTTATATCAGAATGATTTCAGAATCAAAATGATCATTCATTAAAGTAACTAACAAAAACTTATTTATATAAATAAAATTGATAAGTATCCTTTGTTTCATTTCATTAAATCTATTTATAACTTATATCAAACGCAAAGAAAGGTGTTTTGTTTATGTATGCTCAATATAAATTATATGAATAGTAAATGAATGCTACATTATGAACTAAACATACTCGTATATATATTTAAACTCCAATACTAATTACATAAGGCTACCTTATGAAAGTACTTTTCATTATTTCTTTGATTTAAGTCATACTTAATTTGCACTTAAATATATAATTTAATAATAATTAGCAAATAAATAAAGTTATAAGCAAGTGTAGGCACTCGTCGTCTATTGCGCTTTGAAAACTAACCTAAATAGTACTTCTTAATCATTTGATCTTGATATATGCCTTTTTACCTCACATTAGCAATCAATGAAATTACTCAGTAGAATATTAAAATAATCACAATTACACCTAAATATTTTCTTATAGTAATAAGATACATATCATAAACTTAGATAATCGTTATTTTTTAATAGAAACTATTATTATTAATATTAAGAAAACTATTACGTTATATATACTTATTGGAAAACTAAATTTAAACAATGTGGCAGTTCTTGTGTATTTTACTTGTATTCTTTATAGCGGCCCGTGCTCTTCCGTTTGTTGCTTATTCATTTTGTTTCACATAAATCATTGCATTCAAATAGATCTCATTAATGCAAAGTTTAGTCTAATTCGTGTTGTATTAGCTGTTGTTAGCAGGCTTTGCTTGCTTGTGCGAGCAAAACCTGTTACTTTTTTTTATATAAGAATTTATATAAATTACAGAACTCTTTCTTAGTGCTAATAATTTTACTAATAAATTACTATGTCTCTTCTTGGTAGATCTTAACATAAGAGTGGATTGTTATGTTATTAAAGTAGAGTAGTGCGTCCATTGTAAGAGATCACTCTAATACACTCAAATATCGATCACATAAAAATCGACGTTGTTATGACGTTTTTTCAGCGACGTAGATACCAATGAACTAATGATTTAACACTGATCTATCAACATATAGTGATAGGGCAGGCAAGTTAAATAATCATGTATAAAAAGAACGCTACATTCAATAAATTGGTCATATGATTTTGTTTGATAAATTAGAGGATTCTTAAGTACCTATCCTTTTTAAGATTATATAATTATATTTATCTATGTCAGTTATTTGTATAATTGGATAACTTTCCCTAAAAATACCTATAATATATATATTGATCCAATAGTTTCAAGTTGTTCCTTCGCAATACCTACGTAGTTTTTATGACTTAAGATTATCTTCTAAATGAACAGATTAGTGGACACTAATTTCAATTTATTATGATAGCTAAATGTGATCTAAAAGTAGAGTTAAATGTTACAATTCATTAATTGTGTCTACATATGTACAGTCATTTAAATTTGAAACCCGTTTCTTCATTGGGAATATATAATAGTATACCTACTTGTAGTTCAGTAAACATTTGGACGGCTGTTACTTTATCTTTTATAATTTCTTTTATCAATACTCAGGAATGTAGTTGTAAATATTCTGTGGTTCAGTTTCTATATATACATTAGAAATAACAAATCTTTGTGTATGATCTTGTGACTACTTTTCAAAATACAAATGGTATATTTACTGCCAATATTTATAATTATTGGCCTTAAATATTCATTAAATAACTTTAGAAATTCCATGTACAAATCACTGTATATAGTCTATTGTATGGTACCTTTTAATTCTTTGGATTGTTCTAATTCAGGCATTAATAGAAAAATTGCATGATTTGACTATTAGTATGTAATATTATATTATGTTATCTGTGCTATTAATTGTAACTAATAGCACAGCGATAGCGAGTAATATAAGCCTGATATATCGATTTAAATAAGGTAATAATTAATTATTTTGTAAAAAAATCGTGAAAGCGGGTTGAGTAGTCTAAATGAGAATGAACGATTGTATTCTCATCCATTCATAGTTTCGTGGTAAAATGTTCATTTTCGTGTCAAACGTACATATGTGTGTCGACTGCTTTTTAACAGACGAATAGTCTGTTAAAAATCGTAGTTCCAAACATGTTACTGACATTGCACACCTAATACAATACTGGTTTAGAATTCTAATATTCATTGTAATTAGTCTTTCAACTTAAAACTTAAGATTGAATTTACAAAGTTCGTAATTTTTAAGTTTATCCAGCATTGTATTAATATTCTGTACTATATAATCTTTGTAAACTTTACGGTTAAAGTGTATATTGTGTGTAAAAGATAATAGAAAAAAATAAGATAAGTGCCTCAAATAGGAATGATCTAACCATATAATAAATAATAGAACCTTGAGGTACTAAGGGCTGACAGAAGTAGGTATCTATAGCTACGTAGTAGTTAATGTTTTGTTTCATCTCTATGGTACTTAATAACGATTTTTTTTTATATTTATTTACGTTCCGTGTTTTGTAGTAAACTTATAATTATCTTTGCTATGCTAATATTGAAATATTTTTAATAATTTGAATATAAAATTACCATAATGTATACTGTATAAATTTTGTTTGCTTTTTTAATTTTACAAAACGATTAATATTATATCCTTGAACTAAAAATATTACATATCTTAAAATGCAATGTAGTATAGTGTAGTTTTATAGTTACTTAATTTATTGTAAATAGTTATACCTATTATAAAAAAATGATTACTTGTCCTCTAGACTCCGTGTCATTAGGGATATAAAAATCGTATGTTTCAAAAATGTATGAAAAAACAGCTAAATAAGTTTATTTCTGTCTCAGATACACTAGAAAATTATCATCTTTTTTTGTATCATGCATATACAGAATTATATAGAGGTGAATATAATATCTAGTTATAACTTCTCGAAATACACATTTAGTAGTTTATATACACCGGCACTAATATTTGTACGCACTGATTTACAGTTTTATTGTATGTTCGCAATTATTTATTATTTATATATTATAACTAAATTAATGAACATATTTTTAGAAATTTTAGAATTTAAAATGTATTTTATATAGTTTAATATGGAGTATAACTATTAAAGTAATAAGAACGTATCATGCAAATGTCAATAACATGAAGCAAGCAAGTTTACTTTGTGTAACTTTTGGATATCACGCGTTACACAAAGAGTACGTACCTACTATTGTTGTAAGCTAAATGAACTAAATTACAAAAGGTCTGTCGATTTATTAACTAATAACTGACCATATTAGAAAATTATGACAATGTAGAAAGATCTAAAGTTTCTGTATTAGTCTCAAAAATATTAAAGAAAGTTATGACATAGCGGGAGTATTATACATAGGTCTATGCTCTTTAGTAGACACGATCTGCCTTCTGACGATGATAAATGTATAAAAATTATATACGTTTTACTGTCATATAGTTTATATTTGTCACAATATTGTTAAACGATATTGGTAAAGTCCTTGGAGTATATTTTAAGTACCTACATGTTGTGTTACAGAATCGGACATACCTACAAGCATAATTAAATGTCACTGAAATAATTATAGAATAATTGGTCTACACATGACCCTCAAGTCGTAGGGACAATATAGGAGCAGTGGTAGGCACCGACTTGGATCTTGACCTCGTGTGTAACGAAACCAGGGAGGATTTCTAGTGTACTCAGCTGCTTACCCCTATCACTGATTAAATTATGGTCTTAATTTTTGTGTTCTAAGTAGATCGTATAATTTTTTTACCTATAAGACTTGTTCGAAGGGTAGACAAAATTACTTATCTACTATTCATTTAATAATATTCATTATTATTGTATTAGTATATATACATACGAGTACTATTCTATTCTAATACACTTACGTAAAACGCTATAATATGGTCATAAAATAGTTTTAATGTTATCTTTATTTTGTTTTTATAAAATATAGTAAAATTAATTTGTAGTCGAATTGTATTCGTGTTTTTATCTGTTTTTATTAATTTTATCTTAAGTGGACCATTCAACGATATTTACATTAGACAATAATTACCTAGATTTAAATAAATTATAAATTTTATAGTTTATTTTATTACTATTGAAGTACTATTTAATCTGCGCTTTGTCGTTTAATGGTTGTTTATTTTGACTGAGTTAGTGAGGTGTAGATAACCACACCTTATGTCATAATTTAGTAGAAGACATTTAAACGAATCATTAATGCCATTAAATGCAACTTATTTCCTGTTTGCGATATCATCACTGTTGATATGCATTTAGTTCCTATACCCATTATAGAGTTATACAGCTTGAAACTCGTCAGTGATTTTTCTTATTGTGTACATTTTTATGCTATCAAAATTAGTCAATAACCAACAATTTGCTTAATATGAAAAGAATTTTCAGTTTCTCTTCTATATAGTTCATTAATAATTTAAGAAGCGCGCTTTTGTTCGTGGAAATCTATTGCTTTCCATACATAGTACCTTAACAGTACCTTACCGTACCGTACCGTAGTACCTTAGTAGTAACAATTTATAATCTGAAATTTCCTCTTTTAAGCAATTATAAGGAAATATGGTACATAATCTTACGAACGTAATCCACTATATATATATTTGTATAATAAAGAACGTCATTTTAAACGTATTTTGTTTCATAGAGAAGTGCACGTCAAGAGGTTTCGATGCGAAATGATAAAGATAGGCAATGATACACGTTATTACGTAGATTTCATTGAAATATCTTTTTAAACTACCGAATCCTTGCGACTTCGAATATAGAC